TGAGCAGTTAGTAGTTGATAATTTGACTTATTTTTATTATTGATTGATTGAAAAATGGAAATAATCACCTTTTATGGACTTCCAAAAGGATTAGGAATAATGTGCAAAATGCATCAAATGGTGAGTATCTGTTTGATAATTAAATAAATCCACATCTATTTAATAAATGTGTTTTTGCTTAAAATTTTGAGCAGTTAGTAGTTGATAATTTGACTTATTTTTATTATTGATTGATTGATCAATTTTATTGGTTTACAGAGAACAAAGAGCTACAAAGATCAATGAAAGACTTGTGATCACAGCAGAAATAATTGATAATATCCATTCTGTTAAGGCATATTGTTGGGAGTCAGCAATGGAAAAAAAAATTGAAAAATTGAGAGCGTAAGTTGTTATGATAATTGTAATGTTGTTTCAACATTATATGTAGTATTTAAAAATGACTACTCAGGTAGACTTCCAACTCCTACATGAACTTTTTGACAATCAAACACATGTATTGGATAGATCAATGTTTATTCAACACTTGTATGAAGTTACTTTGCTGGCATTTGGTGTTAGAAAGTGTTGATTCACTTTCTTCCTTTGCAGTGCAAGAGTACTTTTGTTTATTTACATATGTTTATTTTATATGTATGGGTGTTTTGCCTGGGTATATGTAAGTGCACCACATGTGTACAATGTCTGTAGAGGTCAGAAGAGGCTGTTGGATTCCTTGGAACTGCATTACAGGAAGTTGTTAGCCACCATGTGGGTGCTGGGAATTGAACCCAGGTTCTCCGCAAGTGGCTCTTAACCACTGAGCCACCTCTCTAGCCCCAAGTGCAAGGATTGCCTAATGAATAAGTCTCTTACAGATCATCATTGTTGCTTAATACCCTTAATGTAATTAAAATAACAAGATGGATGGAGGATAATTAAATGAGTGTTGAAATGTATAATTCTGAGCCAAAAAAGGATTCTGTGTGATACTGCATTTAATAAATGTGTTATGACTTGCAAAATTGGAAAAAAATTCTTTGTACAAATTGCATTTGTTATTCTGAACCTTAGGAATTACGCAGGGTAATTTCCATCAGTGTAATCCAAATAAACTACCTACCTGAGGCAATGTCTCTTCCTGTAACAAAAGCCACCTCCTGAGATAGAATCCATACATAGCACTTGTTTGTATCTTGTCTTCTTTCACCTCAGTTAGCCTTTCACAGATTTGTAAAGATTATATACAGGAAAAAAGTACAGCATAGGCTGAGATAATTACCGAGATAATTTGGGTAAAATATAAATCCACTACATGTTGCTGTAGCCTTGCAGCCATTTTTCTTGAATTCTGTGTTCTACAAACTGCAATCATGAAAAAATTTTCAGAGATCTAGGAGGCTAGATACAACATTAAGGAAACTACTAATTTAAAGACCTATGGCACATAAATATTTCACATGGAAAAATGAAGAAGTGTCCTTTTTATATCATGTGAATTTGGATTATTTCAAATTGGGACTGCTTAAGACACATAGACAGTGGTATCTGAGCCACAGGTGTGTGATTGGAACAACAAACGAAATGCTGAACTGTTAAGTCCTTTGCCATGTAAATAGATAGAGCAAAAGAATATTTATTTCCCAAACATGATTGGTCACCTGTTTTTGTTATGCCTTTCAAGATAAATCCAGGAAAGGAATTGCATTTTCTTTCCAGAAACATCCTTAAAGATATTGGGGAATTGTTCAGTTGGTAAGAGTTGTTTTTCACATTAACAGGTTGAGTATTTCATCAAACTCTGCCCATAAGCACAGGCATGGAAGAGGTGATGAGGTTATCAGAGGATCTGGTTTTGACAGGCTTTATGATAAGCTCACAGGCAGGTCATTCCTGTGGCTATTTGACATTGGTATTTTCCTTCTCTCTTCCTCAAAAGATGAAATCCATCCTTTCTATTCTGGATTTCTGTTTGACCAATCTGATAGCGATGTCTAGTTGTAACCTGTATAATCCAGCGTGAGATTGTTACCTGAAAGAGCTGGAAAGTGCTGACGCAAAAGGGAAAGCAAGAATTGCTTTTACTCAACAGAGCAAATACAATGTTCTGGGTGAGATTGACAGGATGCTCTTCAAAGAGATGATTACCTCAGCTCAAGCCACTGTTGCACTGGGCCAAAGGCTATGCAAACTCCTTGGAAATCTACTTTTTATTGCTCTTTGGTAATAAAGGCACTTTCGATGGATTTTTTTTTTATAAGAAACTAACAAAATATTTTTATGACTCAAAGTGTTAGGGATTTTATTATGGTTTCTAGATGATTCTTGCTAAGAGTTCTTGAATCCATTATTCTTTTTTGTGACCTCTCCTTCCTACTTTTCTCAGCTATTTCTAACATATTTGAATAATTTTAACAACTTTGTTAATATTTTTAAATAATGCTGTCAGTCATTTTATAAGCATTATTCTAGTCAAATTTTTTTCTATATAAGAAAGAGGCCACACATTGTAGATTCAATTACACCATCTGCTATGTTGTCATTTAAGCTCAACTACATCTCTACAAGGGAGATATTAAGCTTCTCTTCTTTAGATGTGAAGTCATATTAAATCAGATGGAAGAACAACTCCCTTGATTATGACTTGGGTATAACAGACAGAGCCAAAATCACAATTCATTTTTAATACCAAATTACTGAAATAGTAAATACCACCACTCATTAGGCTGATCACAATATAGGTTGGACATATTGGACTCTATCAGTGAGCTCAGGATACATTATTTTCTTTAAAACTAAAAGAAAAAAATAAGATTTCTTTTCAGTATGACAGTTGTTTCCCTTAATTAGAGAAGCATGTTCAAGTAGTGTCTGCATGCCAAATGCTGTCCTGCACTATGCTATCCATCAATTATTGCTCCTCTTGGATGGAACCTTCTTTGTTTTTTTTTTCCAGTATTGCTGCTCTTTGTAATTGGGTGGAGAGGATCACAATAGACTCCCAATTTTTTATGGCTCCTGGAAGAGTGGGGCTGATGTTGAGCACAACATTTTTCTTTGCTTATCACCAGCTTTTGAAACCTTTGCTTTCTGCCTCTTAGACCATTTAACCCTCTTATATGTGTTAAAAGATAAATAAGCTCCAATCATGGTTGGAGTTCAGACTAGAGGGTTGAAACTATAATGAATCATGATTGCAAATAATTACACTTAAATGAGAAAGGAGGAGAAGAAATATCTATTCCCCTAATCTTTGGAGAACTGAATTGCTTGGTTTCTTTGACTATAATCCAACTCTGGAAAGCCAGTGCAGCAATGGGCATCTATGCAGGTGGCCTCCAGAAGAGGAATTTAATGAATTCTAAGGAGAATGCCTGTTAACAAGTTTCTCAGGTGACTTTTATTTATGTTACTATCAAACCACTCCTCTGTCATATAGATGCCATTTTCAATGCTATTTAAAGCTGTTTGAATTCCTTAAAATGTTAAGACTCTCTTGGGTAAGTCACAAAATAACCTTTTCTTTTATAAATATTGTAGCATTGTCTTCCTTTCTATACATAATTTCACAGGTTATTGATGAAATTATTAAAGATACAAAAAGTAGCTAAAATTCATTCATATAATATTAAAATTAATTTTAATAATATAAAATAGAAAGTTTAATCAAGATAATTGAAGTTCTTAATTATTTAAAAATAATATTAGAAAGCATTTAATGCAAAAAACCTGGTACATTGTCATTCATATAAGGTAACTGGGGCCCAGGGAAGCTTAATAACATGCTCAAATTCACACAGCTTATGTAGGCTAAAGCCAGGATCAGAACACAGGAAGAAAGACTCTAGAGAGCATGTTCAGATTTTATATTCCAAGGCACCTGATATTTGGAAAATAAAATAACATCGTATCTTCTTGTTTTCACAGGCTGGAACTGAAGCTGACTCGTAAGGCGGCCAACATGAGGTTCCTCACAAGCTCAGCCTTCTTTTTTTCAGGGTTCTTTGTGGTCTTTCTTTCTGTGCTTCCCTATACAATCATCAATGGAATCATCCTCCGAAAAATATTCACAACCATTTCATTCTGCATAGTTCTGCGTATGTCAGTAACGCGGCAGTTCCCCTCTGCTGTACAAACATGGTACGATTCTCTTGGAGTGATAAGAAAAATACAGGTAATTTCCATGACTGCATTATATGTGTGATTTTGAAACATTTTAGAATTATTACAGTGGGAAAACTCTCTAAAATGAATTCTTCTTTTTAGATTTATTAATGTACAAGATTTTTCTCCCTTGATTTGTGTACATGGTCTAATGAGTCCTTATAATGAAAGCTTTGGGGAATAAGATGAAGGTCTATGAGATTCTGATAAACTGAAGAAATTTAAAATAATTGCTTCTATAATATGGAAAATGCCATTCAAGTATTCAGTGACTAGATGGCTATAGTTGCAATAGTAGGCTTTGTAAATGTGCCCCCAAAATTGAAAAGTATCTTCAATAGGAAGTTATGGAAAGGCCCAACTAGCACTGGCATTCCTACCTTGAACTTCTGTAGCATTTCTTTAGATGGTATGATGGGTGGAAATGGCATTTTATGCCACATTAGTTACTGTAAAACCCCTGGGTGCCAAAGGAACTGCTAGTGGTAATTAGCCTTAAAGTCTTGAGGTAACAAGAAATTATTCAGTGTGAACTAAATGAACTGGTGAGAAAGGTATTTTATTTTAGTTTTAAAAAATGCAAATATTTCACCCAGAAAGTAAATCATGTGACAAGAACAAAAATGAGGAATGGAGAGTAACCTCTTTTAAGTGATTCTGTCATTATTAGGAAAATACCTAGGCCAGAGGCTTCAAATGGCATCCAGAAGGTATCTAATTTTAGCTTTGGTATCTATTTTATTTGAACTTTATTCTGAAAAGTTTGAATTTGTTGCTAGCAATTAAAAATTGAGAGATGTCACATGCATCCACATGCAGGAGCATATACCCCCCACCCCACATTTGGTGTTCTGAAGAACTGGGACATCTAATAATCTGAGTCCCCATAAGCTGAGGCAGTTGTCTCAGAGTATCTTCCCTATCCAGTTCATCCCAGTCTCTACTGGCACCTTCCTTTCACCTGTTTCACCTCTAAGACAAAATGAACTTGAGATCTGTGACTAGGTCAAGTAGTGAGTAGAGCTTAGAATCACAGTGGATCTGTGAATGATTTAATTTCTCTGTTAATAGTATCACAGTGATGGGGTAGGAAGATGAGGGACAGGAGAGGAGAAAGTTAAGAGCAGAGAGAATGCCACTGAACAGGAACACAGAAACAGATACCCCCCCAAAGAAAGTGGGGAAGATGAGACAAACCAAAAGAGAGAAGAGGAGGGAGAGGTGGAAGAAAAGAAGAGACCAGGCAGGGGCCAGTGAAGACTTCTCAGCATATAGACTTAGGTCTTATGGTTCCCTAGGAATAGTGTGGTTTGGAGTGTCTTATGGAGCCCTGCTTTAGAATAGGGTTTCATGCCTTCAACACAGCCGGAAGATGTCTTCACACCTTTACTTAATCCAGAGAAGTGATGCTGCTGATGCCACTTACAAGGAAATTGCTAAGAAGACAATAATGTTTGTTTTCCCTTTGTTTTAGCATTGAACTCCGAAATATGTAAGTGGGTGATTTTCAGGGATTCATTAGCAATTCTTCTTCCATGTAATAGCACAAAGAGGAAGCAGCTATATCCTATGATATAACATATAAACAGTTCTATGAAGTTCTTTAAAGTGTTTATTTCAAATACGATGGATTCTAGTGCTGGCACATGAACTTTAGTATAATTATAAAGTTAATTAATTAAATAATTTCTAACTTAATTATTAGAATCCATATATAAGATACAGAAATGTTGGAATGTAAAAAAGATGCAAAACTTTCATGCGGTCTTGATTCTGCAGCATGCTTTTGCTCTCTAATAAACAGGATTTCTTAGAGAAGCAGGAGTATAAGGCTTTGGAATACAACCTAACAACTACAGGTGTGGTCATGGAAAACGTAACAGCCTTCTGGGAGGAGGTGAGATTTTCTGAAAACGAGGGTTTTCAAAAATATAAGCTTCATTGTGCTTGACTTCTATGTGTATCTAAATTTTTACTTAATAGAAAATAAGACTAGAATAATGAAATAACTGATACAGCTATAAGGAGGAACAGCTATTTTATAAAGTGAGTAGAGGACTAGGCACATTACCTCTTTAGAATCATAGACTTGTTTTCATATAACAGGTTAGGAAACAGTGCAAAGATTGTAGACCTTGATACTGGGGTTGAGTCTGGCCTACCATTTATTCTCCATGTAACTTTAAATAGCTTCAAGTCTCTAGTTTCCTCATTTGTAAAATGAAGAAAACTGTCTTCCTTACACACTTGTTGTGAGGACAAATGGGTGATTTATATGGAGTATTCATTAGTGTGCCATACCTGGAATGGTTCTCCAGTGAGCATTATCTTCTCTGATGTCAAGAGTTAATCCAGTATTTATAGATGCCAGAAAAAAAAGATGTAGTGGGGCTGGAGAGAGAGAGAGATGGCTCAGCAGTTAAGAGAAATGGATGCTTACGCAGAGGACCTGGGTTCAATTCCCAGCACCACATGGCATTTAGCAACTGGCCATAACTCCCATTCCAGGGGAATTCAATGCCTTCTTCTGACCTCTGAGCATTGCACAACATGAACACACTTACATATGTGCAGGCAGCACACTCACACAATAAATAAAAATAATAAAAATATATTAAAAGGACATAGTACTGCTATATCAATATATTTTAAGCTATTTTTACTTATTTTTATTCATTATTAAAAGTTGTCATATTTCTTCATCAGAATATATATTATGATGTCAGTCTCTAAAGAATCAATCTGATTACTAAGAACACCTCATGAATTACTATTCTTCATCACTTATTCAGTTAAAAGTAGATATTATAAAACCTCTAATGAAAATCAATGTCATATTCTAAATTTCTCATAATATCTTAAGTTGGACCTATTTATATGAATAACTCAATTATGGGGGGCATCATTTTGACTTCATTTTTTTGAAGTTATAGGCAAGGAAATAAGTGTGTTTACCTGCTTTTCAGAACTGTTTTGTAGAAAAGTGTGAATATCTGCCCTCAGGAATTTCAAATGTCCTAGGCATGAAAGAATAGTACAGTGTGGTACCTTCACTGATGCTCTGTCTGTCCCTGTCTTACTCTACTGCAAAGTTCTCTATTCTTCTTTCACTCCATCTAATAAAACGAACAGGCTGGAGACCATCCTGTGTGTCGGGCAGTGGAATAACTGTTTGTAGGCTTTGTCTGCCTGTTTGTTTCATCAAGAACTCTGATTTCTCCAGTTCTCCCTCTTGGACCTCTCTTGGTTTATCCTTTGCATGTTCCAAGTCTAATTATTTGGGTAATTCTCCTAGATGTCGCTTCAGTTTTCTTTGCCCTCTGCTGAATTTTTTTTTCTTTTCTAGAAAACATTCACTTTATCAGTCTTAGAAAAGGAAGTGTTATGTGAGAAAGTTATATACTGCAGTCTACTGTAAATTTTATACATTTATTGTTTCAGTGTTAAGGGAGCGTGTAGTCCTTGGAAAATTAAGTCTTTAATTCCATTCATCATTTCCCTAAAAGTTCTTTCAGACTTTTACCACTTTCCCCAAATTGCCAACCTCCCTCATGATTTACTTACCCCTAGTAGATAGATGGCCTGGCCTTCTACAGCCCCCAGAGAAAACTGAAACACCTGTCCTCATGAAGGAATATGTCCAACTGTTCTCTTGACCCTAGTAGTTAACTTTTCTCCTTGTTTCCTGTTCAAGAGAAAGACACACTTTGTCCCATCCTTATCTGACCTAATCCTTCTTGCTACTGCTTCTCTGAGCCCAGGGAACCTGCAGTTATTTCCTCTAAAGGCTTCCATGTCCATTCTCAACTGATGCCTCACATTTAAGTATATTCAAGGCAAACTATTTTTCCATGACTTTTGCTCTCCTTCACTTCATTCTCAACCTTGCTGTTCTTTCTTTCACTCTCAAACTCGCTCTTACTGCCACACTATGGATGTTTCCCACTGTAGTCTAGATTCTGCCTCACCAATTTATTTTAGCAGTTCCTCTCTTCTAGATGATATTATTAGCTACCTTTACTCAACTGGCAACATCAGGTTATTTTATCCTGAGATCGTGATTTCAAAGTCTGCTCTGCTTGCCCCTCAGTGATGATGAACCACAGGGACCCCTTGACATCTTCCAGCATTTCATGCTGTCTGTGGGTGACCTCACCCAAGATAACTGATATCAATGTGCTGATGGTGCTCCATCAGTTTCCCATCAAGTTTCAGTTCTGAACTTGGCACACGCTGTTACAAATTTCTTTCATGCTTCTCATGCACTTCATAGTCATCACTCCTCAAGCTTCACTGTCCTGCTTGTTCCAGTGTATTTCCCATCCCCTTTGATGGCATCACCTGAGAGGCAAGTCCTGGGTGAGTTACGTGCCTCCTCCTGCATGCCAAACCTGTGATTAGATAAAATTTGTATTTACATATTCGGAAGTTGAGACTTAGAACATTTAAGTAATTAGAACAAGGTTAGTTACTCAAGTCACTAACCATCGTAGTTATTCCGAGCTAAAATGTTAGCCTACTTTCTTAGACTCCAAAGCCATTTCCTGCTCACAAGACTGCATTCCTGCATTTAAGGCAACAGAGGCAAAACAGGGCTAGGGTGTAACTAGAGGCAGAGTACTTCCCTAGTGTGGGGAAAGACTTGGGTACCACCCACAGGACTGAAGACAGATGACGAGGAGGGGGAGGGGAGGGGGAGGGGCTGTTGTAATGTGTACAACATTATTTCCCATGTGTTACTTAATTTAGTGTCCTCAACAGCTCCCATACACTGCTAGAGGAATTTTATGTATTATTTGCTCTGAAAATTCCACTTAGAGGAATTTCTTTCAAAACATTGAACTAAAAGGGAAAGCATCTAGTAGAAAACTGTAGTTTATACTTTGTAATACTGTCTTACACTAAAAAATTATATTAATAAGAGTGACATGAAAATATATGTGAATAATGATGTCAGAAAAAGCAGGTCACACACAGTACATACAATTTTGGGGACTATGATAAAAAGACATATGGTTATATGCATATACTTTGGTATAGCTATACATTTAGATATGTTAAGGATGCATTTCAACTAAAATGTTAAGTGTGATTACATTTCTGTAATACACCTGTAGCTAATTTCTAATTTCTTTGGTTTGCTCTCCAACATTTTCCAATTTTCTGAAATATGTGTCTCTGTAATCAAAAATAAGAGTGGCTCCTCATTAGAAGTCCATAGTGAAGGGACTGGCAATTCCAGAAACATGAGGGAAATCAAAGTTTTTGTAAGGTGACTGCCTCTAGCTTTTTTAAAAAAATTTTATAATATTTTTATAGCTAGTGATGGTGGGTAATCATTTACGAACCAGACTTCTTACATTATGAGTCAAGAAGTAGCTAGAGGAGATGAGGATCCCACAATCCCTGACCGAGGGCATGCCCCAATGACCCACAAACTGCCTCAAGGCCCCAGCTCTCTAAGGCTCCACCATCTCCCATAGTTGCCACCCTGGGACAGTATCTCTTGCTTACCTTCTGCATCTGAGCCATGGAACTTCAGGGACCTTCTGCATCTGAGCCATAGCAGTGAGTCTGGAAACAAGGTCACAAATGACTCTGCAGAAAGAAGTGGGTGGAACATTTTCTCTGAGGAACTGAGAGAAGGAAGAAAACTCTAATAAGCCTTGTGGGAAGAGGTACATCACC